GAGAAAACAATCCATGCAGGTGGCCAGCTGTATGTCCTCAATTTTTAAATACTTTTGAAAGCATATTTTCAAGTATAGATAACCATTGCTGCTCTGGGTATATACATGCTGTCTCATAACCCTGCACACTTTTACAACATTCCAGGTAAAGTACTTTCAGTTGTTTAATTTCATTCTAATCATCATTTTTAGGCAAAGCTGTCATAGCTGCTCTCCATTTCATCTAGCCAAACTGAAAGTCCAGATAAAATAAATGCATTTTTCAAAGGACATGCTTCATCTCAGCCTAAAATAGTATGTTCTACTATTAATGGGTAGAGAGTGGGTCTACACCCCCTGCAACTGTGTCATTTGTCTGTATGCAACTGTGTACATATGTATGTGCAAATGTATGCATTTGTATGACAAATACAGAGAGATGCAGATGTGACCAGGGGAAAGCAGGCTGCATCCGCTATGTCCTCGGTTGCACTGGTGGTCAGTGTCTGAGGTCAGGTGGGGCCGGTCCTTCTGCCTCCCCTCCGCCTGCACTGAGAAGACGCCAGGTTCCTGTTTTTATGTGGAGGCTGTGCACAACAGACCTCATCTCACATGAATGGGTTGTGTACCAGTCCTGGATAATCACTGAAGTAAGCGCTGAGACCCCTAAAACTGTACTGAGTGGAACCACAAAGGCGGCTGCGCAAGGAGTAAGGCACCAAACGTAGCAGGCAGTGATCTGCCTACAGTTTTCACCAGTTTGGAGCTGGCAATTGCGGCTGCAAAGCAGTGTGGTACTGCAGGCCTGTAGGGTACCTAGATCTTCAAGTGGACTTTTTTTTTTCTGTGCCTTATTCTGCTTAGATGTGAACATGAAGCTTTATTGTGCTTTGGGTAGACAAAAGTGAATTTGCCACGGTTAAAAGTAATATTTCCTAATGCAAAATGTGAAAAACAATGTTGGAGATCTTTCCATTAGTCCCAACACTATACCAAACTGAAAGAAAATGCAGTCTGCTGAAGCTGTTCCTCACCTCAGAGCAGACTGTTTTCTGCAACCAGATACCACTATACCTCCGATGCACAGAGAGCAAAATGCAGCAGGGGAGCCTATGGAAAAGATCTGTTGGGTTTGGGGTTTTTTTTTCCCCCCCTCCTATTTTTGGGAGATGGATTTGTGAAAGCAGGTCAGACAAAGCTTGGGGCTATGAGGCTTGTTGCAAGTATGAACTTTGATTTCCTTCCCCTTCCCTGTTACCAGTAAGTCTCAGTGGAAAATATTCTGTAGCAGAATGACTACAATTATTTGATTAACTGTTTGTTTAACTATAGCTTTGTGATTTTTCTGTGCCTATAAGTATCTCTATTCCCTATACAGCATGTATTGGCACATCATCCTCTGTCTCTTCCTGGAAAGTATACTCAGGAGTCATGGCAATAGCCACAAAAGCTTTTGAAAGAGAATTTCTATGCAGGTGTTGAGGTGAGCTGCTTCAGCAGCTGTAGCAACTTGTTTTCATTCCAAATATTGTGTTCCTCCTCATGCAGGCATACACTTAGAGAACTGTACCCAAGTACTCTTGGACTGATTCTCCAGGTGCCACCTTTACCCTTCTCACACTCTTCCATCCCCTTTTGGGTGTTCCTGCCTGGACATTGGCTGCAGCACCAGCCGTGCAACGATGGTGTCAACTGTGGAGGGGGGCGCAAGAGCGTCCTGGGTCCTGCTGGCTGACTACAGAGCCATGTGCCAATGATGCTGTAGCATCTGACAGGGCCTTTTGCTAAAGGTACTTGTTTCAGGGTGATTTAAGGTATGATTTGACTCCCCTCAAAACCCCAGCTTGTTTCTGTCAGTTCAGTTTGGCAGGGAGGGAGGAAAATCCCAGCATCATTTGTTGTTTGGTTGCACCAGGAGAAAGATCCCAAGCAGGAACATAAATACAGCAGGCAGTAGTAGGGATCTGACTGCTGGTGGGAGTTACTCAACCCCCTGGCACTGTTCGGATTTAGCCATCTGGCTCTGGCCCTGCTTCTACCTCTCAGCTGAGGGTGACAGTGCCAAAGCCAGGAGTTTGTCAATGTCCCCTTGGAGCTTTGCATGGCCAGCTGGCACCATATATCATCAGCCAAGCCTCCTCTTCCTTCTCCACAACCTTGGACACATCAGTCAACACATATAGCCATGCCCTCCCACCCCCGGTGAGGAAAGTGGATTTCAACCCATCTAAGCCCCCCTAATAGAAATGAAGGGTTTCAGTCTTTCTTTCCTGCACTAGAGGAGGAAAAAAAGATCTTTACCTCCTTTTTATTTTCTTTTTTAAAATTTTTTCCTTTCTATGGTGGTCTCCCCTAGGATGGGCACATCGTGCCTATTGGAGGTCACACCTTAGCAAGATGAAGCCGGCTCATTCTGGTGCTGGAATTTTATAATGGAGAGGAGAGAATAGTAAGAGGAGGATCCTACCAAGCAGGATCGGCCCCAACTGGAAAGAGGTTAGAAGCAGACTGAGGTTTGTCAACATTAGGATATGAGGCCTGTTCACTAAGATGTGCTTCTTTCTAACTTCTTCCAGTAATGTCGTGTTCATCTTTATCATTGAAGTGATACTGCCATTTTCCATTGCTGTCATCCTCTTATCCATATAGCAGCAAACCTCCCACCAGTTTGAGTGACAGATCTTTTAGGCTCAGCTCTGTGGGGAAGGTGTGATGACCCTCCCTTCAAAACAAGCTAGTCCCTGGCTGCCACTGGGAAGCAGCGGCGCTCCCACCCCTCTGCCACAGGGGTCTTTGTGAATGCTGTGTTTGTAAGCTACAGTCACATCTGTACTGCTGTTTTTTTAAGCCACCCCCTACACCCCAGATGTCTTTAATGTTGATGGGGGAACAACATTTTCCCACATGCAAATGGAGAACAGGTGCCACAAAGTGTCACAAAAACTAAGTTGATTCATTAAGCAATAACTTCAGGCAAAACCTGAACATTTAAAAAATTTTAAAGATGTGGTTTTTTCTCTTTTCTATCAGTGTATAACAACTGTTTATAAAAGGTTGTTGCCAGTCTTAGGCTGTGCTAGTTGCTTTTGTACTGTGAAGCCTTTTACTTGCTGATGAATATATTTGCAGTACTTAAGTAACCCTCCCGTAACAGCCTCTTCTTTGAATTCATGCAATATAAACCTTCTGGATGAATCTGAATTATCACATGCCACACAGCCCAAGTTGGCTCCACGGCATGCTACCCTAATTATCATCTGTTAAAGAGTCTTAGGACTGCTAGGAAGGTATTTTGTGTGAAATGGATCCTCCAAATAAATTTAACACTCGAGACTCCAAGCATAAATTATTAAGCAAAAATCAGAAGCAGGACAATGAGATGATCTTAGGAAGAGTTGAGAAGTAACCAAAATCAGAAGTTTCTTCAGCAGGTAAGACTTTTGCCATCTTTTATTAATCTTTTACTTTTTCAGCCTGATGCTTGGCATTGTTTAACCAGCAGGTATGTTAAGAAAAGACAACCTGAAATAAGTGCAGGAATTCGCCCAGTCGTGGCTTAGATGAACTCCCAGTGACTTAGTGACCTCTCTTGCCCTTTGCTTACTGTTAATCCAGAACCCATCTGCCTTTCTTCAGATGTTTCTGCTAAGACTTTATGTAGTGTTTATGTTATGAAGAACTTTTTGGCACAGTGTTTGGACCTTTGGGTCAAGTGGACCTTTCTACCCTATTTCTTCAGGTTACCATTCTTGTGTGCTTGCTATGGTTATGTTGCATTAGAGACTATGTGTGTGTGCCAGTGCTAAATCCATGGCTCCAGAGTGTCTTTACATGATAACAATCTCTTCATGTTGGAGTCCACACCACAGTATCATGATGTCCATGTGACCTGAAGTGTGTTAGGATCTCCTTACAGACAGGCATGCGATGCTGTACTTTGTCCAGGGCTTTTTCCCCTTAAGAATATCAACAGTTTAAAATGGTGCTGAGAAAACAAACTGTTCAGCCTTATGTGTTTTTAAAAGAAGAATGAATGCAGGACCAGTGTAAAGCATACAGCAAAAAGTAGACCGAATTCAATATGATCTTTAATCCTGCCTGTATCTGGTTGAAGCTGAGCAACTTCTTTGGAACGTAAACGGATTTGAGCATGTGTTCATCTATTAAATTTTTTTTTTTTAAAATATCTGTGCTATTTGCAGCAAGCCCTGTATTGCAAACCTGAAGCCATACTTTCTCATACTGTACAAAATAATGTGGATAAAACATCGCTCAGCACATCTAAATGCACACCTATATATGTAATCATCATGAATATAGTCACACATCTGTTTTTCTCTTACTTTCAGAATGATACAGTCTACTGGCATGGCTGTATGCTTTTTACATTAATTTAAACAGGTAAAAGCAGATAATGTATATTCTATTGCACGTGCTGATATCCTTTTATTTTCCTATTTCCTTTAGACAGTGATAATGAAAATTGATGTTTTGAAATTGAGAATTTCATTATCCAAAAAACCCCTTAATTCTGACATGCAGAACTGATCTAGCAGAAAAAGCATGTCTGATCCCAGTCATCATCAATTGCTCTCTAATTATGATGGCAATACCAAAATGAAGCAAGCTTACCTTAGCTCAGTAGACTCTTTTTGCTGTATCCCAGGCAGTTTCCTCTCCTTACTCACTTGAAAAGGGAAAATCCACTTGAATAAAGAAAAATAAATACTGGAAGAGTGAGGGATTTAAGGAGTCCTCATCTGAGCTTCTGATCCACTTGTTTTTAGCAAATTGCAAAAACCTCGATCCAGTAGTAGCTCAGAGCGACTTTCCTCTCCTCGTGTGTTCTGTGGGCTGAGAATCTGCAAGAATAGACCTGAGATGGTGCTGCAAGAGAGAGACAGTGGGGGGACCTTGGCACGGAGTTGGACCAAACTCTAAATATAGTCCAACCCACTTTCTGTGCAGTTCTCTTCATACTCTGAAGGCAGATGACCTTGTCAGAAAACTGACCTCCCAGCATGCGACTCTCTACAAAGAGAGGATCTAAGGGAACAGGACTACAACATAAAAGGACAGAAAAGCAATCAACCATCTGCTTGCAGCAAATGAATGTAGGTATGAGCTCTATTTTTATGGCAGTTGCAACTGATAGAGTCATAATGTGCTTTATTTGATCATTTAGACAAATGAGCCGCATGCCGGTTCACGAGAGACCTGCACAGATGAGAGATTGCATTGTAATTGCTAGTCTTAAATAGAGAGCACTGACATAGATGAAAAGCCTGCCACCTTTCCTCCTCTCAAAAACCTTAATGCAGCAGAGTGTGTAGTATTTTCCTAAAACCTTCTGTCTATAAGAAATTATCCTTCCTCTCGCTTGCTGTTACAGTAAGACTTTTTGGAACAGTGAGTTAAATCCACAAATGAATATTCTGATACTGTATGAATTTGAGATGCTAGAGTAGCTTGAAAGGGCAGTAGAGCCTGCAATATCAGAGACCAAACTGCAGAGAAATGTGTAGTATATGCAGAGGAGGAAGCAAGAGAATAAGAGGCGTAGAAACATAACCCTTGTGTCTTAGATAGCGAACTGCTTTTCAACAGATGTTTTATAATCCGGGGAATCTGCCACTCTAACTCTATGTGGCAACATGTCAGGGTATTTTGTTCTTAACCTGAAGGAGAATTTAACTTGATATGAGTTAACCTGATACTCCGTCAAACAGCGACCTGATACTGCTATCTCATATGAAGGCTTCTGAATAAAAAAAGCTGCAGAAATGTAAATCTGAGCAACTCAAAATGTCTTCTCTCACATTCTGTGTTAAGACATGTAGGAGAGTTGGGATAAAAGCTTGTTTGCAGTATTGTTCTTCAGTGGGATATATTTGTTGGTGATGACATATATCTAAGTGTATCCTACATTATATGCATGCATGCAATTTTTAATATTGAGAGAAAACCTGTGAAAGCATCAGGAGTGTGATAACCTCATACTATAGATGTGTATGTCTGCAAAATATGTGAGAGCCAAAAGGGCATGAATGATATCAGTGGTCAGTAACGTAGCAATGTGTATCTATGAACAGTAATTAGGGCTGTTAAGTTTTTGTGAAGTGTGCTATATATTTTTGTAATTGAAGCCTACTATTTATGGCAAGTTCCACTGTGTAATTTTATCATGATCTATTGGCTTGAAGTCCACAGGGTCAGACAGACTCTGTGTGTTACCTTCACAACAAGAACTACAGCTGTGTGCCACAGCTGCTTCCCAAGATAGTGGGAGAACAGTAGAAAATAAGAATATCCTGCAGTATTAAGGGAGACATCACATCTGGGACCATACTACATTCCTGGCCAAAACTTGCTCATAGTCAGACCTAGGCTAGAGCCCACCCATTAGATGGTTTTGTGGATTTATCTAAGTTCTTTCCTCCCAGTTTTACCTATTTCTTCCCTGTTAACAAGAACAAATGTTTGTTAGGGGTGAATATCGTAACAAATGAAGGATGCTCATATTTGAAGAGAGGACCTGAAAAAGGAACGAGTCTGCCTCCAGATAGGCATACATTGAGTGACATACTAGCACTGTATAAGTAGTGAAATTCTAAATGTACAGGATACCAACATGATTGAACACCAATAGCACCATGCTATCTGCGCTCCAGGGTGGTACCCTGATGCAATCCAGACCAACCCTACCAGTTCCAGCTCTGCAGTTCTGCTGCCACTTCTGCCCCTCTTTCCAGTGGTGGGATATTGAAATCACCACAGATCCCCTCATTCAGAGTGTGAAGGAGATGAGGATAAGGGAGGGAATATGTACTCCTCCCCAGCATGAGTTAGTACTCTTCACACTCCACAGCAAACAGCTGGAGCAGCTTCCATCCATGATAGATTGGTAGTTCTTAGAAAAAGAAGGAATCACAGTGCTCTGTGGGTCCTAAAGGACAGCAATAGTCATACTTTGCCAGGAACTGTGACGTGCACTTCTCCTATATGAGTATTGTGGAGAAGGGATGTATTCTTGCTCATACAAACAATACGCTGCTTGGCTTTGAGGAAGGAGCATTAATCTTTGGGGAGGCTTTTACAGAGCGGTGCTGTTTGCAGGGCTGTAAATGTTGCCTGACCAACCACAGTAATGTGAACTTCCTGAAAGGAGGGGAAAAGGCTTTAAGAGTGGTTGTATGAGTTCGTTGAGATGGATGGAACAGTATTTTGTTTGACAGCTGTATACACTCAAGTTTCTTTAGGATGGCTTTTGCATGAGTTTCCTGTCCATACCGCCAAGATGGAAATGTAGAAGGCAGTCAGGCGCTATTTTGTGCCTAGCTTTTCCTGGGCTCGTAACTTGTGTTTTCCTTATGATGCTGGATGGTCTTTCCACGTCTTTGTAGACAGTTTTTCTCTTTGACTACCCAGCCTTCTTTGGTAGCATTTCCTCTGGAATGATCTGGGTCTGGCTTTTCCAGAGCCCAGGCTGTTTCCTCTCTCACATGCCTCTGTTGGGATTGATACTTACTTCAAGCCAGCCTTGTGGGGTTCCCCCTCGTACAGTCATACATTCTGTAACTAGTATGTGTGAACTGATTTTTCTTTTGATTAGCCCCAAATTCCGAAGCACTTATAGTTGTTTAAAGCTCCCATGGAGCACTTCACCAGGTGAAGACCAGGTGAACCATAATGTCTCAGCCCATTTCCAATGTGGTCAACTGTATCCTGGCTTGCCCCATTCCTCTGCTTTTCAGAATTGGGTAGAGTGTTCTCTTACTAGCAAAACCTGTTGCACAGTATTACTGGCATCCTTTTGAGTGGTTTCTAAAGTGACTGTAGGGTATATAATGCCTGGCATCTATCAAGAAGAGAAGCCCTTTTTACAAGGTTAAATACTTAACTTTATAACATTCATCCAGTAGATTTGTGAACAGCCAAAACCTGTGCTACTTACAAACAAACAGATGAGTCTCCCATTTCCCATATCTCTAGAAATAAGCTTTTAAACTGAATTTGGAGATTTAAGGAAATTATTGGACGTTTCAGCGTAAAGGATAGTTTTTGAGAGAACAAAAGAAAGAGAAATGTGGAGACTGCAGCGACTTGTGGATGTCATCTGAGCCTTCACTCATGGTGTCCTTGGTGAAGGGTACTAGAGCAAACAGAACTGATTTGCGCGCTGTGCTGATGTATTATTTTGTCTTCAGGCTCTGGTTGTTCTTGTTTGGCAGACCCGTAATGAAGAAATTAAGTTGGATGGCAAATAATAAAAAGGCCTGTCATATTCCTAATATGTCAAATCTTCGTGTTTGCCCTTTGCTTACCATGGGTTTTAAAACTACAGTGACTAAATGAGTATTGAGTTCTCCCTTCTTACCTTGGTGATGCGGTTATTCTTTGTGTAAGGCAGTGATAGGATGTCAAATTCAACTCTTGTCTTGCAGGAGAAAAACTTATTTTTATTAGGGGGAGGGTGGCCTACTACTTTTACATCTGATCAGTCACTTTCTGTGATTTTTTCTAACATGTTTCTGTCTTACAAGGCAATATATAAGAATGATAAAGTCAAAGGGATGGATTGTAGCTATACTACAAGCTGGGCCTAAGCTTGATCATGTAAAGTTTGTTCTTCTGTGCTTGCATGTGTACAACAGAGGATTTCCTCTGGTCTTATTTTCCAATATGCCCTTTATTTTGTCTTTTCGTTCACTCCCAGTCAGCGAGTCAAGGCGTGTCAAAAATGAGTTTGGAAGAACCCATTTTGAATATTAAAGTGTTAAAAACAAGGGAGAAAGGAGAGGTAGTTGTTACAAATGTTCTGTGGGAGATCCTTTGCATGGCAGATAGTTATGTCTGTATGCTAAAAATTTTCTATCATATCAGAGCATAGTGAGAACTAATTTGATATTATTCCATTAAGACCAGTTCTTTTTTGCTTAAATGGGTAGTGATTTTAATTTAAATTCCTATTTAGTATAAGAAAGAGGAACCTAAACTGAATATCCTGTCACCAGATTTATCGAGCAAAAAAAATTCCTCATGGTAGACATGCCTTCTGAACTGCCCAGGAAAGGGGTTTACATTTTTCTAAGAATGTTGTCTTTGTAGTACAAGCTAATGCCAATACTTAGAAACTAGTACAGGGAATTCCTGGAGACTGCTTGCAAGACACTCTGCTTGGCACAAGCTTAGGCTGGATGGAGTGGGAAGGAGCTTATGCCGTCTGAATGTTACCTAATGGGACAAAACTGAAGCACTTTTGATTCTTTGATAGGACTGTGTCTGTTTCTGCCTGTGTCTGTTTCTGCTCAGTTGCATATTGTATGCCCTTCAGGTATGCCTCACAAGTACACTTCAAAAATACCTTTTTCAAAGTACCTTGGCAGGCAAAGTCTGCAGTTCAAGGCATCCTCACAGATATGAAAACTTACTGCTGTGCTGAAGTAGCCGTGTTTTGGGAAAGGAGTCCTTAGTTCATAGAGATGGGAAGGGAAAACAGTGCCCAGACCTTGGGGGACCGTGGCTGGTTTGGGATGATGGAGCACTGGCACCACATGTAATTACCTTGCAGATTATCTCAGCCCAGGCAGGGAGGCAGCTCTGTTCTCTGTTGCAGTAGGCTAACAGGGAAAGTCAGCAAAGGAACGGTAACTAACTGGTAGTCACCTGCAACAGAGCTTTACGTGCAGCTTCTTCCTAGTAACAATAACAAATACCATGTCATTCACAGTTTCTCCTCTCCAGTTCCAAATGGTCAAACTACCCAAGTATTTTAAGGCCTTACGAGTGAAGGCACTTCATTTCATTCATGACCCTGGTGAGAAAAATATGAAAACTTCATCAGTGTTTTAAAATGGGAGTTGCAAAAGCTAAAATGCAGGGGATTAAAAAAAAAAAAAAAAAAAAAAAAAGGAAAGATCTTCATTAATTTTTTGAAGCAGCATTCTGCTTAACCATGTTGTCATCCTTGCATCAAAGATTTCCACTGAGCTATAATATTACATCTTTTGATGCAATTAAATATTCATTTTTCACTGTCTGTCAGTATATGTATTCTCTTACTGATTTCTAAGACTAAATCTTGTTTTACTATACTGTTTAAAATGATTTAGCTAATC